ATGGGAAAGAAAAGCCCCTGAGATTGTTTTCTGAGAAATATTTGATTGTTTAGAAGATGCATTTTTGGCCCCAGTAAGTTATTAAAAAAACATGAACAATTGTACACAATCTCTAACCATCAAAGCAATGGAGAGATTTCAGGCTGTCTTTTTTGCAGGATACTTGCCATATCAGCCCCTCAGATGCAACAGCAAATGAGAGCATAGTGCAGTGGGATCTGTTTATAAACCTTTGTTTACAGAAATGTTTAATTTGCCAAATTTTTGTTTCTTGGCATCATAATGGTTTAAAAACAGCATTCCTTACATCATCAAACTCATTCCTTCCATGAACAGACCACTCTAATATAAATATAGATGGTGGTGAGGAAATTAGACCCGTTAGAGAGGAGGTACATAGCACAATTTTGCAAATGTCTGTTGGGCAGAATCCCTTAATTGCTTCCACTCCAGCTGCTAAAATGCCTGTGGTTTGTTTGGTTTAACTTAAAATGATGTGCAAACGTAGTTATTGTAGATTATAAACCATGGTGTATGGCTTAGAATATTGTATAAGCCCAAAAACTGTTACTTTATTCAACAAACAATGGTGAAACAAACCATATCCTTAATGCAATGAGATTGACCTGGTCACTGACTTTCCTAAGACTTAACAGATCTAGTGTATGCCAATTTACTTAAGTGTAAGCCTCAGTGTTTAATAACTCTCAAATAAATATGCATAGCAATAGCTGGATAATTGTGGTCTGTAACCCTTGTACTTTAGGATAATTTAATATTTAAGCAGATTTTAGTCAGGTTCATACATGGTGTTAAGTCATAATAAGACTTGTTTGGTTTTGGCTTAGTGTGTGCTGTGTGAATCCAACATAGTGGTTTGTAAATAATTGTTTATGGTTTACTGTTTTGTACAAACTAAACTAATAGTTGTTTATTCTATAAACCATATAAGCATGTCATAATTTAATATATGAATTTAGTCTTTGGGACACACCTGTGTTTTAAGAGAGAAAAGATGGAAAATGGGCAAGCAAAGTGGTTTACTTTAACCCAGGCAAATTGTTTAGCACTTTGCTAAATCAATTGCTATTATACAAATTTTGAGGCTAGCTTTAAGGCAGACAATTTCCCTTGATGATATTTTCCAGCAGGAATATACATGTTTAGCATGTGTAGAATGCAATCTTAGGTAAGACATCAAGACATTACACTAAAAGAAGAAACTTTTGATTTTACTCCTCATAAATGAGTATACTGTACAGACAAAGCTTTAACAATTTATACACTTCATAGCTTTTGATACTACAGGAGGGAAACAGATCAACCCGGCATGAGAAAGTGTAAGGACACAAACATAAAACCAGTAGCGCAAGGACCAGGAGTATAATTTTTTTCTAATAATCAACAAACTTGTTGTGATGTTCAACTCCACAATGAACCTGATGTTTATTCATGGGAGGGGGGATGGTAAAACTAAAGGGTCTTAACAATCCATTTAAGACCAAAGCACTCTAAAAACATTTTTGCATTAGAATGTGTGTGTGTGTGTGTGTGTGTGTGTGTGTGTCTGCCTGCCTGCCTGCCTGTCTGTCTGTCTGTCTTTTGGTCCAATTTGACAAACAGGGTTCTAACTGGCCAGCCACCAAGACAAACAAGGTTGGTAAAAGCATGTGACAGATCTGTTTTGGAATAGTGTCCAGACTGTGGAATTCTCCTTCCTTCTTTACTTGGTTTTAAGGGACTATAACTTTTATCATTCTATCTGGCTATTCTGATACTTAGTTGACAGAAATAATGTTATAATTGTTTGTTGCTATTTTAAATTTATGTTGGTGCTGTAGGTTGCATTTGGCCATTATGATTTATTACTTAGAAAGGACATCAAAATGCAATTTCTGGGTATTTTTTTATCTCACTGCATCAAACCCATTTTGTCCTAATAGCATATGAAATTAATTCATTTGGATTTCTGGATCAATTTTTTGGTTTGGCTTTTTGGAAATGTATATTCTGGGCCATTATTCTGGAATAACATTTAATCCTGAGACAGTTACTGTAACTAAGGGATTTATCAGATATTTTGTAGCTTAAAGCATTGATTTTAGCTATGCAAGACTGGTGATCTGTAATCAACATTCTATTTCTGAGGGCTTGTGTTTTTGTATTAAGCAGTGAATAACAGTATAATAGTGGATAATGTTCAGTTCTTAAATCATTTTCTTATATGAGTCTAATATATATCATTTTATTCACTGTTTCCCATTTCATCTCCTCCCAAATTTTAAACTGTCTACATTTCTTTACTGGTAGTGTACCTCAAAAAATATCTTTTCTCCTCAGTGGGAAAACAATTGCTCAACTTAGTTATTTGTATTAAATAAATTCTGCACAATTCCCTAGAATATAGATTCCACCTGTAATAACTTCAAGTGAGAAATAAGAAACTGTTTTCCAGGGAAGGTGAAATAAGGGCAAGAGGTTTTAATTACTTTCCTGAACAAGAATTCAGAACAAAGAGCAGTTAAGCTGAATCTCACTTGGTTAATATTTGGATGGGAGACCATCAGGACATAACATAGCTGTACACTACACAGAGAAGCTGAAAAAACTTCCAGAAGGAAATGGCAAATCACATGCATATTGCTGCCAAGAAAACTGCACTGGCATGTCTCTTGATGGGGTGGCACTACCCCTGAAGGAGCAATTCCTCAACGCAGGGGTCGGGAACCTATGGCTCCCCCCCCCCACCCGGCGCGGGTTCTGTTTCCTTGCCTGGGCTCACGGCCCGCCCCCCTGACAAT